TCCGCGCTAATGATGTTACTTGTGATGTTGATGAAAGTACATTACACGTTATTGATACAACTATTGGCACAAATGAATGTACATTTTCTCTTAATGAACAGCAAAAGGTGTACTACTATTAGAATCATACATTTCGATTGTTTGTTTTTCTGCGCGCGCTACGCTGTTTGCTCGCGTTTTCTTCTTGTTATGACTGGAGAGATTGAATCGATTATTCGCTTTGTAGGATTCTAAATATTCCTTCATTTACGAGCTAGCAATACCTGGTCGTAATAACGCCGTAACGTTACGGATAATCATAGATCAGCCGTAGAATAACGACCGAGAAACTTTTAATAGCCAAAACAACAGACATTTTGGCGTCACAAGGAGAGATGGGTTAGAAAAGTAAATGTTACTCCAGCTTTCCTGCATTATGTAGATCAGTTCTAATATAGATCTATTATAAATATTCTATGATTCATTATGACATGACTATTAAGATTGCATGATCTGTTTATTTGTATCTATCCCATTCATTCCCTTGTTTATTTGTTTAATAAAACTAAAAACTAAATTTATTATGTATTTATTTATCTACTTATTTTTTACAGGGGCTATTTTTGGTATTTTGCTATAGTGTTGTCACTGTTACAAACTTATGTCAGAAACACCCTATGTATATTTATGTCCAAAACAAACTATACATTAAGATAATATTATAAATAATCCGTTATGATCTATCTATTTGTATTTGATATTTAAATATTGTATTTTATTTTTTATTTTTTAAAGAAGATGCTTTTTTTCATGGAATTTATATATGTATATTTTTTATTTTATTTATTTATTTTTATTCTTATTATTTTTATTATTTTCATTTTATTAATTAATTAATTTATTTTTGGTAAGTGCGCTGCCCCGAGTTCTCCGCACATATTTGTTTCGACTTCTCTCTAAAAGATATATCTCTAGCTTTGAACACCATTAAAACAAAGCAGTGATGGAGAGAGTGGACAAAGTACGCACCTTCAGCTCCCTGGAAGACCAGCAACTAGTTGAATAAACACTGACGTAAAAAATAAGTCTGTAATATAACCTCTTTTTATAAAATGAAAAGTATCGTCTTGGAATCGTGTGATAAATGATACGAATTCGTTTGTCTGACGATTAAGGGACCATTTGTAGAAGGATCGCAACGATTCGGCTGCAAACTGCTAGACTTAGTTCATCAGACGATGGTGTAGAAATGGATGGTGTGTCTGTTATATCCCTCTTTATAGTTTATTTATGTCAAAATAACCTACATTTCAAGATTATAATATACATAATTCCAAATATTCTATTAGTGCAATATGTATAGAATAATACATTTTTTTTACAAAGATTTTATAATCTATAGTAACTATCTAATTAACGAGAAGCGTTCGCTTTGCAAAGCACTTTTAACAATTAGCAAAAAGTGGAGAAAATAAATGACCCAAACACCTTGTAAATAGCAACGACGTTGAAAGAATTTTAGAAAACTCCTAACGCTAGAACTTTATTTAACTAGGTTTATAATAATAACAATGATATTCCATGCTAGTGCACGTGAAAAAAAGAGGGAAAGTTGTTAGATGGGGTAGCATTCTATTTTGAAGTCAATTTATTTTATTTCAGGAAATAAAATTATGATCGCAATGAAATATCAAATAAATAAGTCAAAATAACTCACCGTTTGATTAGTTCGTGTGTTTTGGACTGCTAGTTCTCAGAAAGCATTCTTTTTCCTTCTTAATGCGTTCCTGTTGGACGAGAAGTAGTAAAATAACGGCGAAAAAAGTATAATTAACGAACAGATCTATTAACATACGGCAGATAATTGAATCGAAGTTCTATTGCTCTTTGTGGAATAAAATGAATTTCTACTAGTCTATCATATTTTGTTAAGGATGGGAACTGGCAAAAGTGAATCAGTAGGTTGGGGGAGGGGGGAGTAAGAAAATGCTTCTAAGTCTTTGTTTTTTAAAAACAAACAGCAACAGCAAAATCAAAACAAAAAAACAAACAAAAAAACCAAAAACAA